TAAATTCATGCGCCCTCATCACATCTGCTTCAGGTAGCGGTTCCGTGAATGTCCATGCAGTTAACGGCCTCCCATCGAGACCCATCCTCGTTCTCTCTGGCATGCTTCAACATACGGACGCGTACGCAGGTCAGTATAGCGAGTATACTGAAGCCTATCAACACCGGTATTTGCTGCTTTGCCGAAACGCGATTGTGAGACCCAAGTACTGCATTTAAGTTGATATATCCCACCGACCAAGGAGTCACATATCAACTGCGCGTCTCTGGTGACCTAGAAAAAGCCGCAGCTGATTTGGCTGCTATCAGTGTAGCGCTAAGCAACAAGGCGGAGGCGGCGCTGTGGAACCGGTTCAAGAGTAACAACCGACTGTGTGCAGTTCGGCTTTGGGGTTCATGTAGAATCAACAGGCGTTGTGAGGAGAAACGCGATTAGTCTATGATCTACGCATACGCCTCAAATGACTATAGCTGTGACAGTCAAAAGAGACTTTGATCTTGAAATTCAGGGGCGCATGAGCAGAGCTTGCAGATTTGGTGTCACTATCCTCGCTAAAGATTTCGATGCACGGGTAGGTCGTTTGTAACCATGTAAACACCAACATAGCGGTTATGCCGCGCCAGTCAAAGACCACGCACATAACAGATAGCTCCCACATATTGTGCGAAGGAAACCAACAGTTACTCTCGAGCAGAAGGTTCATACTTACGGGATGTTCTGTAACCTGACGTCCCCATTCACCAATACAAGCGTGATCTCAAACTGATCACATTGCAAGTAGATTCAGCTGGTGGAGCAATGTGAGACCGCAGATTATTCTGACCCACTTTCGTTGACTCAGATCACGTGCTGACCTGTGCCAATATCTGGATGTGTTTTGACGACTCCCCGAAAAAAGCACCACGGGATGGACACAAAAAATTAGTTAATCCCTCTGCCCAAATGAACTATCAATCTGCACGGGCAGACACATCTGCTTGAAACCCATCAAAAGACACCGAGCAATGCTGGATTTTTGTGAAAAAATACAATGATCCCTTCCGCGTAATCAAGTTGTTGTCGCACTCGACATTATTCCCAAGTCTGGATCTTCGGTCGTCTTCTGGAGCTGCTTGGATGTCGCAGAAATATTCCGGTAGGGTCAAATCACAATGAACGCCCGACAAGTCGACCGGCGGCTTAAGTAATGCGTAGGTACTGATCACGACGTTGGGTGTTCTCAGCGTGCACTGAAAATAGAGACCGCTGTCACCCATGTTACTACCCATAAACTCTTCAACACATTCGTCTACCAGCTACAGTTAGCCTGGCGTCAGTGAGGTTATTTTAAAGCCGGATGGTTCGCCGATCGCTAACAAGCGGAGTCTCTTGAACCGCTGGGTTGAGCCGTTCGAATGGCCAACAGAGTCCATCAATGAGCGTAGTATATCCATCTACCTAAGCTGTTTTGCCCCAACGGATCAATCCAAGCAGAAAAGCGAAGTCGGTTGTGAGATTCGACAATTGAAACAGTTCAAAGGTTGTTAACGAAGACAGACTTCCGGTGATGTTCAACTATGGTGGTGTGGCAAACGTTAACCAAAATCAAATACTAGAAGCGACCCGATTTTCAAAAGTGTTGCCGTCAATTCAAACATCAAGCACAGTCACCATTTGGTCACTTCCAATTTATCGGTATCCATTTTGCTTCGCGGATCATCACCATTCGTAAGTCAAACAAAGATGAGGAATAGCTTGCTTTCTATCCCAGCCATGGATTCCGGTTAAACTGTTCGCTGACCTTGGCAATTTGGTTGCAAACGTTTCCTCACCGATCGAGCTGACATCATCAGTGCGTAGTTGAATGGCATGCAGTAGCGAAAAGTAGTGTAGAGGAGCCTCGGTGACAATGCGCTGAGCGTGGTGTGAGTGCGTTTTTATACCGCAGTGGTTGCCCGTGGAGACGAGCAATCCTATAGGTTGGGACTTCGATCCGCCTTCAGCTTGGTTGATGGGCAGATGACCCCTTATGTTTCGTGGTCTTTGTGAGCTAGTCTGTCGTCAGTTCTGGTCGTCTAGTCACACGTTCCATCGGATTCAATCGGTCGAATTGTCGGTTATTTGCCAGTAGTGTGGCGTATGTTGCGTCCAGTGCAATGTGTCGATTGATTGAATTTGTTGTAGGCTACCAGGCTTCCAAAAACTCCCTCGCATGTTTTGTACTTCCATGTGCTAGTATCTTCACCTACTGCAAATCGAAGTTTTGACCTTCTTGATCTTCATGCGCAGAAACCAAAGTGTGTGGATCATGCCTTCTGTCGGCCGTCTTGTGTTTGGTAATGCGTGTACAAAGCTTTCTTCCAGTTTGTCCGACGTAGATTTTATCGCAGTCGCTGCATTTTATCTGGTAGATGACATTGCATTGTCGGCTCGATTGACTTTTCTTTGGGTCTTGAGATCAATCTGCTTAGGGTGGCACTTGGTTTGTGAGCCACAGAGATTCCATATGACTGCAGCAATCTTCCTGTTGTTTCGGAGACGTCCTTGATGTAGGGGAGCACTACCCATTGGTTTTCTTGAGCAGGTAACTGCTGCTGCTGTCGCTGAGACATTCATTTCCTAAAGCTTCTTCTGCTGAAATTCCTCGGATAACCGTTGTTTCTAAGCACCCGATATACGTGATTTCTTTACTGTTTACGCGATTCGGCTGTGCTGCAGTGCTTTTCCCCTCTTTTAAACAGGGTTTGAATGCATCTCTTCTGGGATTCATCGGGTGGTTGCTGTGGTAGTTTAATATCAGGTCCGTATGTCTTTTCTTCCGATACACACACGTTCGCAAAGATCCGTCGGTATTCCTGGTGACCAGTACATCCTCCTATAATTCAATCGTAAATTTGATATCCTCGAATGTGCAGTTAAGCAAATCGTGCGTGGCCTGTACCCTTTTCCGTTTTACGATGACAAATGTAGCGTCCACGTATCGCATCTAGAGTTTTGGGCTGATAATATTAATAAATAATAATGTGTCAGCTGAACGCCGTAACGGCGCTTCGCTGCCGCGAGACAACCACCAGTCGCTCGGGCTGAGTATACCGCGAGGACGCCCACCCCTACGCGGATTCGAACCGGTGATCTTATGGTTGCAAAGCAAACGTGCAGACCACTCGGCCACCGGCCGACTTTGGGCTGATAGCTGACAATGTAATGCGCTCCAACTTCTGCATTACGGATTCTGCAATGAGCCCCGAAATTGGGGATCCCATGATTGTTCCTCACAGTTGCTGGTACACTCGTCCATCAAAGCGGAAATAAGTAGTAATGCAGAGGTTCAGGAGTTTCCAGACACTTTCAGGTCGTATACTTGTCGTTGGGCTTAGTTGATTCTCAAGTTCTATTATGGTTTCTTTGGCCAATTCGTGACCGATTGAAGTGAAGAGGGCGGTGGCATCGAATGAAAGCATTATGTCGTCCTCTATTCTGACACTCCGCAGTTTGTTAAGGAATTGCTCAGCATTGTTGATACTATGTTCGGATCCAGCAGTCAAATGTTTCAACCTCCTCCACAAATCCTTCGCTAATTTATATGAGGGGGTTCCGGAGAGAGGGGCGATTGGTCGTAGTGGAACTCCATCCTTGGGTACTTTTGGTAGTCCATAGAGCATTGTAATGTTTGTATCATCAGCTTTCATTCTCCTTCTCTTCGTGGCGGTGAGCTCGTTCTTCGTTTGTATTTTCCTCAGCGTTGCGTTGATCTGATTGACCAGTTTTGAACTTGAATCTTGATCGATCTGGCGATGTGTAGTTGTGTCGGATAGCAGTTCTTTGGCCTTTTTAATATACTCCGGTTTGTCCATTATCACTGTCATGCGCCCTTTGTCCGCTGGTAGGATTACAATGTTCTCCTCTTTCTGTAGACGTCTGAGTGCATCCAGTTCCTCCTTGGCTAGGGTCTGCGTGACTTTATTTCGGATTAGCACTGGGACAACTGTCTGCCGTATCTGTTGCTGGGACACCTCCGACAGTCCATTTGATTTCAATGTGTGTTCTAAGCTAGCCAAGTAGTCTTTGGGGAAAGAATCTTTGACGTTAAAGTTGAGCACCTTAATCAAGACGTCATATTCAGTTGCAGTGAGGTGGCGGTGTGAAAGGAACTTGCTGCCAGCGAGTATAAACCACGGACCAGCGCTAAACCATCCAGCCGCTTGGAACTTAGCAAGAGAATACGGAAGGCGCATGGTCAAACTGATGATAACGGATATCCACAACCACTTACACAAATCTGAGAAAGTCACAATGGACAATAGGACCAATTGCCTCAGTACTGTTGACCCACAGCTACGAACAGCGCTGGAATCCGCAATTAAACATCGAGTCAAAAGCACAAAGAACCAACGCAAGATTGCATTAAACACAAAGTTAGACAAACTGACTAGGAGAAATGACTGCACTAGTAGTAAAAGATGGATCATAAACCTTTCACACCGCCAAGCGATACCAAATTGCAACACTGCATTCCAAGAACGGTTTCGTATTTACTTCGGATGCGGACACCCGAACGGAGGGTTGAATCCAAGATCTAGGCATCACCTATTCACCTGCAAGTTGCCGAGGACGTTTGTCACAACGATGGAGGATTTATTATCGGCACGTTTGAAGTGCTTATCGTGTGACTGGACGGAGGCACGCGGTCTCAATCTGAAAACGGTTATACGTAAGAGAATTAAATGCACTAAATCGAGTTATGAGACCGATGTGAATTGCCTCACAGTACAGCTAGTAATCAGCATACGTCAGTGGTCGGGATTGTTAAAGCTGAGCTAATGAAGCTCTGCTGTTTAGAGAACCGAACACAAAGACTTCGCAGCGCAAACATGATATCACAGCATATGCGAGGTAGTGTACAGCCGATACAGAGATGTGCTGATGTCAAACAAACCCTACAGGCTAAGAACATATCTCTTAATATGAGATGGCTTTTGAAAGCAATTTCCACTCGCCAAACAAGTAATCAGGTTACTTACGGCAATATATTCAGCGTTCTTTTCGACCAAATCTGACAGTTTGTATAGCAATCGACCACGAGCAGAGGCATCCATGGTGCGCCATGGCGAGTCTCTGCGGAAAGCCGCTTTCGCAGCTGCAACTGCCTTATTCACATCCGCTCCGTCAGCTTCTTGAACTTGACAGATAATCTCCTCGGTGGCTGGGTTCACAGTTGGGAAGGTCTTACCAGACACGCTATTAACAAACTCATTGTTGATAAAGAGCTGAAAGAAAAAGGTTGTAGTGAACAGGAGACACTAGCTGTGAATCCGATTAGTGTACACAAAGCGAGGAGAAAAGACGCGAAACATCTACAAAGGCCCGAGGGCAACAATTGCAAATTGGCCCCCGGTGGTAGAACGACGATGGTTGCAGCATATCTAAGATGCTTGATATGAGAGTTAGGGTGCCCACCAACGCTTAACCATGAGGAAGGATATTCTTACTTCCAGTTTGATCCACTTTAGCTTCGATAACTGCAGAGCAATCACTTTACAAAATGGTTAAACCTATCCCACCCGTAATGGAAAATGCCCACTATACTTAAAGAGCAAACAAAAGATTCGTTTAAATTTCCTGTTGAAATGGTACGCGCCACTATGGAATAAACTACAGTTGCAATTAAGGACCAGCGAGATCACACTTAGACTTTTCTTTCCAGGACAACTGTGGTCGAAATTTTCGACTCTCAGAAACCTATAAGTGCACTCCTGGAATCCGGCACAGAAAATATATGAAAAAACTAGCACTGTAATAATTTTACTCATTATGTACTCAATAAAACTGAACGAATAATCCAAAATTGAATGTAAGTTAATAAATAAAATGCCGAGGAAACTCGCTGTAGTCTGATTTTAAATCCAGTGAAAATTGAATGACAGCTGCTCGCAAAGCTTTTGGCATGTGGATCATCCGCAGATCCTTCGTGATTATGACAACCGAAGTGTTCGCAAGATTATTTGCAGCCTTTGTTAAGCAACACTTAGAATACTACGTACAGGTTTGCCTACCCTGTCTAGTCCGGAACAAAATGACACATGAACGAGTTTCACGGTCGGTGGCGAAAGGAGTGTTTCAATTAAAGAGGCTGTCGTACTCTGAGAGGTTAATCAAGTTGGGCATGTATTCGAGGTATTACATGCGACTTCGCGGTGATCTGGTCCCCACCTATCGCATAATAACAGGTCGGCAGTCCTGATTTATCTGGACTGTTCCATCCCACTCGGGTGTCAACTCTTCGAGGGCATCCACTGGAGATGCACAAACCCCATTCGGACCAAGTTGGAACTGATGCTCGCTTATCACCCCGGGTTATAGACTCATGGAATGCGCTGCGCGCTGTAGTAGTGTGGGCGAAACGGTGAAAGAGTTCGAGCATCGAACTGACGCCCGTGGTCTACAATTAGAAACGTTCCCCTTCGTATCTTAGCCTAGCCGTTATCTGTTGATGCTTATACCATTTTAACTTCTCAGTTGCATTCCAAAGTCGTTAAATTCATTGCTCTAGCTTGTCTTGATTTTGTTCTTCCACTTTTGTTCCATTTCACTGCCGACACAGTGGGGACTGCTAACGCAGGGAAGGTGGGCATCGTTTGGTTGACCCTAGAGTGTACTGTGTGTGATGATTTGGCTCCGCCTTGCAGATCGCCCCACAGACCACATAGCAAGAACAAGAACGCATTATAAATTAGAATAATCACTGGATATTCCTACTGTTCCGGTCCCACTTGAACTTGAACCTGTCATGAGCAAAAATGACAATGAGGATAGTAAGAGCTGAAACGCAGATATATGTTTAACACATTAACGCAGACATTAAGCGGAACGAGCTCAATCTAAGGCATATGGGAGAAATAAGAATAGGAAACAGACAAACAAATTTCAGTTGCAATCTGTAAGTTTAAGGCCATGAAGCAAATTTCTAACAAGCACCGCATTAACAACAACCAAATAGCGAAAAGTGAGGAAAACATTTCCCATTAGAAGCAGTAATAAACTACTGCAGAAAAGTATAATTCAGAAAGCGTGAAAGACAAGTACGAACCTGGGTAAACTTGACCTCCGGTAAAGTTGCAGTATAATCGCCTTGCACAACTGGCAACATCTCGCAGAGCCGCCAAAGCAGTTCTCGAAAATATGAGTTGTGAAGGCCACTTGTAAGTCGTAATTAAGCACATAAACAAGCCTGTTAAAACTTTACTGAACAGGTTATGCGTAAACTCCTATCGAATTTCTATTACAGTAATTATGCCTAGAGTATTATAGACCTAGTTAGTCTAATTTGTTTGACACGGTAGTATACACTAGCTGGTTTATTGAGCATTTTCCCGTAGCCGATGTTCTTTGCTCTGTGCAGATTCGATATGTTGTAGAGAGTAGTTTCTTGCAATAAAATCCTGCTTTAGAAGAAATGCACTTACCGTGTCACTCGCGCTTTTCAGGTGGAAGTATTTCCGACAATGTCCACGTTGGCTACATGATTGTCGTTGAAACAACGTGGGTATTCCTCAGCGTGCCTGTGTAAAGTGACAAAATTGGTTTATCATCGTCTACTTATGTGACCGGTGCACATTGTTGAACAAGGTGGTGGGTACAAATGCTCGACTCCGCCAGTGCGTCTACGTGGCACCAGTTTCGGTCGCAACCCCGGACAGTCTGTTTAGCAAGTAGCCTAGTTATAAACAATCGACACAGTTGACGTTCTACTTAGGTGAACGACGGATTCACGGCATGAGGTAGTTGCGTGATGCAACCAAAACGAGCGCCGAGAAAACATGGCAATGAGCAAGTCAAGCATTGGAACTCAGCAATCAGTACAACAAACCACACCGGTCGCTTGGGTGTATAATGAAATAATTCTAGTAAGCATTTTATACAGGCATACCGGGAAATCTCCAGATTGTCACACAGACCTCCCCCAGAAGGGACGCTGTAAGCAGTCCTTCTATCTACGTGCGGGCTCCCGTCGTGGACTAGCCTTCTTAGCGACCAGGTTGTGCAACCTGATGCAGCATGCCGTGCACCATGCAATCGAACTCTAGCGGGCTCCCACTCGTGTCCCCTTTACGGTGTCGAACCGGTAAACAAAACGGTTTTTTGGGGGGACGGTTTGTAAAGTTCACGCAGGTGGTTGCGCAGGAAGTTAGTTCCACTTCCATTTGAGGTGCGGGGATCCGGCAAAAATTGAAACCAAGGTGCAACCAAGCGACGGTGTATATAAAAAGCAAAATGAAAAGCAGCTCAAATGCAAAGCAATACACAATAGGGTGTAAAGCGAAAGACGTGCACAGCTGTTTTTGGGTTTTTCAAATGTTTTGCTCTATTTTGTTAATTTTAAACTTTTTGGTACTTTTTGTGAAGCTTGGCGAACTTTTGGTGAGAGCAGAGAAACATGCAAAGGAGGGGTCCATGGGAAGTAGCAAAGGCCAACAAACACGGAAAAGTGTACTGGGGTTTCACTTCTCTACCACTTCGATCCTTAGTGGGTCGTGAAGCAGTGACGTTGGTTGGGGTTGTTGGTTCCGCTGAAGCGGGGTGGCTGGCCTGAGATTGTGGTGCTAACTGTGATGGCGCTAGCTGTGCAGGTATTCGTTGCTTGTTGAGGAAGAATGGCTGGATTTGCTCGAGCTTGCTCGTCTCAGCCTTACCATTGTAGTCAGTGGTATACTTCTTGTCGTACACGTGTAGGACATGGAACGGGCCAGGAAAAGGAGGTTGTTGGACCAGCTTACGCTGTCGGTGCAAACGGACATGTGAGTGCAAGTGGTTGCGCGTCGGTCCAAGTTTGTACGCTAGCTCTGTGCTTTGTGTTGCACAGGTTGAAGCTGATGCATGCGATGAGGTAGTTTAACTGCCTAGTCGCCATAGTCGAGGGTTGTTGGCGCTTTTGGTTAGATGAGTTCACCAGATAAGCCCTGTGTGCATCCGAAGACCAGCGAAGAAGGAGTGGAGTGCAAATCCGCTTTAATCGTGTTTCTTATGACTAAGATTTCGAGCGGGTGCTTCGTGCCAGGATGAGATAGATTAGGCACAGAGTGCTACTTTGAGTTGCCGGTGGAACCGTTCTACCATCTCATTAGCAGCGGAGTGGTATGCAGTGGTTCGGTTGTGTTTGCGACCAAGAACGTTGAGAAGTTGGCTGAAGGCACCGTCAAGTTGTGATCCTCGGTCGACGCTAGGTACGCTTGGGCAACCAACTTGAGCTACTTAGCGTTCTAGGAAAGCTTGTTCAACTGTCACAGAGAAGCAGTTGACTATGGTACACGCTGCTTGCCGACGGGTGAACCAGTCGACACAGGTGAGGAGGTACACGTAGCCTTTGAATGGGGCAAAGATCTACCAGGTCGACTTGGACGTATACCAAACGGGAGTCGGGAGCAAGGAGAGGTCGCGTGGGCGTTTGGTGTGTCTGTACACCTTGGCGCGCTGTCACTCTAAGCATGCGCATGCCCAAAGGCGGACATCGCGGTTGACGTTGCGCCATACGAAACGTTCGATCACGAGCTTCTGCGAAGCATGTATGCCGGATGAGGCAGGTTGAGTAAGGCGGTAAAAACAAGTCGACGCATCGAAGTAGGAACTACGGGTCGGGGTGATGCTTGTGATGCGTCACAAAGCATAGTCTCCTCAGATGAAGCTAGTTGAACTTCTAGTAGTTTCAAGAAGGTGGTACGTCATAACTTGTCTAGGTCGAGATCAACTTGTTAGGCTGCAGGCAAGGCGACTAGGTTCATGTTCGTGCCAGGCGACAAGATGGCCTGATGAATGCATGAAAGCGCATCCGCGACGAGATTGAGAGCACCTGAGAAACGTAATCTAGGTGTCTAGATTCTCGCGGAGAATACTTGTCTGTTGCACCTTTGATTGCGTAGATTAAGGGCTTGTGGTCAGTGAAGGCTGTACAAATTGGCCTTCGAGATAGTGACGGAAATGTCTGATACTTAGATAGCTAGCTAACAGTTCCCTACTGAAGGTGCTGTAGCGCGATCCGGCAAGTTGTAAAAGTTTCAAGAAGGAACCAAAGGTAGCCATCGATGCTCGATGCATTGTTGAAGAACTGCACCGACGGCAGCGTCGGATGCGTCAGTTTTCAGGGAATGGTGCTGATGTCGCTGTGTGGCCGTGAAGCGCTACGTTAGAGGTAGCGTTTCTGTGCCTCTCATAAGATAGTCGAGCGCTGTCTGCAAAATAAAAAGAGCCTTGTTTACTGCAGAGTAAGTCAGTCATTGGTTGAACAATGCTCGCGCAGTTAGGAATAACGCGTCAAGAATAGTTGACCAGGCCAACTAATCGGCGTAGTTGTTTAAAGGAACTAGGGGCAGCATAGTCCTACAATTCCTGGATTTTGTCTTGCAGTGCTTCAATCCACAGACGGATATTCGGTTGCAAAGCAAGCAAATGGAACCTTAACCAAGCTCTCATGTATCGGGGTTGTCGGTAACCCCATGTTGCACCAAGCGCTGGTAGACAGGGCCTGATAAGATGCTTTATCGTCCAAAGAGCTGGCGATGTGAATGTCAACTAAATAAGGATAAACGCCTTCGAGTCCTCGTGTCACCTCAAGCATGACACGCCGAAAGGTTTGAGCAGTGTTGCTGAGTACCAAAGGCAAGCTGAAGTACACGACCAGGCCGAACGGCTTGCTGACTGCTGTTGTACCAATGTCGTCTGGCGCCAAAGATATCTGATGGTAGGCGCGAACAAGGTCGACTTTGCTAAAGATGGGCTTACCAGCTAGAGCTGTGGTTAAGTCGTGCATGTGCGGAGTGTTTTATTCATCCGGGACGGTAACTTTGTTAAGTGCCCTGTAGTCACCATGGGCTCGCCAGTCACCTGATTTCTTCGGCATCATATGTGCTGGTGATGTCCATGGACGTTTGGACGGCGGATTATTCCCATTTCGAGCATTTGTTTGAATTCCGCCTTAGCAGCTTTGGGCCTGTCTGGGGCGAGTCTGCGAGGTCGTGCCAAAACAGATGAAACCATAGTGCAAACGTGATACATAACGCTTGACGTCACAGGAGGCATGGCTTTCGGAACGCGAAGGAGTTTATTAAGCATGTCTATGCCTATGATGGCGAAAGGCACGATTGCTACTATGAAAGGCCAGCGAAAGTTTCGCCGGAAACATAAATTGAACGTTAGCAGCCTTTCGTTGAAAGTTGCGATCGGTGTGCCATTAATGTAATGCAGTTTGGTCGGCCAGGGTACGACCACCACATCTGAGCTACGGGGTATAACGCTATCGTTGGCTACAGTGTCGACTGGGAACTCGGTGCCGGAAGTCAAATACTCTAACGCAGATGAGGCGACTTTGGTGTTTTCCGTTTGCGTCCGGCGCTGTTACGCATTTTCACTGCTTCTCGGCGGCTGCAAGGCTTGCCGCATTTACGAGCTGCGGTACTGTAGCATTGATGGTAAAAAAATGCAAGCATGCCTGTTGTTTGAAATGAAACTTTGTGTTCGATTTTGCTCGGCTATGACGACGGCGCCTCATCGTGAGCGTTAAAATCTGGCGACTGTGTGGCAACGTGTTTTTCGATCTTCAATAGTTGACTGCATGCCAGTGATAGATGTGCCCTTGGGCGCGACCGCTTTTCTGTTGCTGTCGTCGGCTTGTGCCTGGGATCGTTTAATTGCTCCATTTGCTAAATGGCTAGTTGGGCGAGCGAAACGGAGCTTACGCTATCAAGAACCGCTTAAGTGTTTCTCCGGTAGCCACTGTAGCCATGGTTTGCGAAGTAAAGTCTCGTCTATGGTAGAGGAACCAAGAAGCTGCTGTGTCTCCAGTAGCAAGGTTCTGGGCAGTTTGTCTTTCAGCTGCAGATCCCTGGAATGTTGTTGCGGGCAAACCTTCTCGGAGGGCATGACAGGCTGAATCGTAGCCTCCTTGGGAACCTCATAGCGGCTTTTGGTCCAAAAAGGATAACGTCTTGAACCTGCGTCGATGTCTCTTTATGAAGATAGCACATGACCTTGCTATACTTCGCGTAATCGGTGTTGATTTTGTGGTTATAAAACGCAGCCACAAGCTAAGGAAACCACAAATGACGATCCATGTCCCAAAAAGGTGGCACAAAGGTATACCAAGTCAAGGACAGACTT